TTTCAGCCGCTGCCGCGTCCGGGGACGCTACTTGGGGGAAAACCAGCAAAAGTACCTTTTGAATTCTTCCGTTAATATCCAAATAAATACACTTGGGCCGGTAAGAGGAGGAGGCCGATCCCATCTTGCTACAGTCGGGCTTTCGCGGGACTTTTTTTCCAGCGTCAAACCGAGCAGAAAACAGGGTTTATCCTACGCAGCTGAGCCACCGCTGCCTGGCAGTTTGGTGTCCCTGCTCTTCTGTGTCCCGCTGCACTCTCATTCTGGGAAGGTCCCTCCTCTAACATGCATGCATTTTGCTGTGCCTCTGTCTCTCTCTCTCCTCCACCTCCTTTCAGCTTTGCTTCCTTCCAAATCCAGCTGCCTCCGACAAGGAGAGACACAGGCTCCAGATGCTGTCTGCAAGTGCCCCCTCAATTCCCATGGCAACAATCCCTTGTGGCTTCAGGGCTGAGAGCTGCTGGGCTCCCCTAGCTCTGACCCTGGGACCGACCAGCTCCTGTTACACACAAGACCAAGTGGCACTTATCTGCTGGAAGGGCGGGGGAGGATGGAGAGTGGGGGGAACCCCTCCTTCATCAGGGTGGTGAGAGAGGTAATTTGTTTTTATGCTGAAATAGGACCATGATGATTAATTAGTGCCGGCCCCTCTGGTGAGCTGCCTGCACCCAGCAAGCAGTGTGATGGGCTCCCAGCTGTGCTCTGTGCTGGAAGTGTCCTTTCAGACACCTGCTGCAGCCAGGGCTCGGGCTGTCTCAGTCCAGACTCAGAAGCTTAATTTCCCCATCCCTCCTGTTATCATTACAAGGATGGAAAGAAAAAGGTGCAGCTTTTTTTCCTCCTGTAAGGTCCAGGAGCACAAAGAAAGAACCCAACGCCATCCATACCACCCCCAGAGCAAAGGAATTAGTTATTTAAGGGAATGTTAAGTATCCTGGCAAAGGCATCTCCCATGGGAAGGCACAGCTGAAAGCCAGAAGGGAGCAAAGCATCTGACTGCTGATTCTGAGCAGATGCCCTATGCCATCTGCTGCGTGTCTGTGCTGTGCTGCAGTGCCTGTGGGGAGCTGATGTGGCAGTGGTGACAGTGGGTGATGCTTGGTCACGGAAGGGAGGGAGCTTTGGAAGCAGCAGCTCCTCCGCCCTGGCAGGGGAGAGGCTGTCTGATGGGCTGCAAGTATGCAGAGTGGTTGGAAAGAGCCCGTCCTGCCAGTGTTAGTTCTCAGTGTGTTCTGGGGCTTCTGATGGAGGAGCTGCAAAACCAGTTCCCAGCGTCTGTTGTGCTGTGGTCTGGGAGAGATGGGCCTGCAGCAGTGGGGTCAGTGCTGCATCCCCTGCCCAACTCCAGGCCCTTAGCTGCAGCTTCAGAGAGACACAAGTGACATGCAGAGGAGGCCAACGTGGCCCTGAAGGCTATGGTATGATGTGCAGCTGAGCAGGCAGGATTCCTCCACAGTGCAAAGGGATTGGTAAGACCAGTGGGGCTGAGTGAGCCCCAGAGCCAGAGCCAAGCTGGCCTTCCAGACCAAAGTCAGCAATACTCAGAGCCAGTGGCAAGGTGACCCTTATGGGAGGTGCAAGCCTTTGCTTCACATCTCTTCTCTGCCAGCTTGGAGGAAGCACTTGAAGTCTTCCAGGAGAGAGCCACTGCCATTGCAGGGCTATCCTGTAAGTTATCCCCGTGGCTATATTGCAGTCTATCCTATAAGCTATCCTGGAGGCTATTCTCCTAGGTTATCCCATAGGCTATCCCTGTGGTTACTCTGAGGTGGGTGCAGCTTCTCCCACATCAACCTTGCAATTTCTGTACAGCAGTTGAGGCTTCTGTGACTGATCATTTCATACCATGCTCTGCTGAGCATTGCCTTAGCCCCATTTTACTGTTTCTAGTCCTGAGTGACTTGATTGGCCTGGACAAGCAGCAGGTACACGAAGAAGATGGCCATGAAAACCAAAATGCAGCCATTTAAAGAGGCAGCAAGAGCACTACCACGGGGAGATGCACATGGGGCATTTGGTCTTGTAGAGGAGGAGCTGGAGATCTCACCCAGTGAAGACCTGTTTCAAGACTGGTTGGACAAAGAATCTGACATTGGTGAGCATCCACCTGTTGATTTCTGTTTTAAAAAGTGACCAGCTTCTCCAGCCAGCAAAAAGACAGGCTCCAAAATCCAGGTGATGATCCTGTTCCTGCCCCTCCATCCTCCTCATCATATCTATTGTTCCTTTGTATTTAAATTGTGTTTCTTAAGCTCCAGCACAAATCCCACCTCCCCTTAATTCCATTCGTAATTATTGGGAAATTTGCTTTGCTGTAAAATTGCTGTCTATGGCACTTCTCAAGAACTCTCCCTGTAGAAGAGAACCTATAAAAGCCAAACTTTCAGAAATTATGGTAAAAGCCTGATGCAATCTAAGGCACAGCTCAGGCCTGTGTCTGAAAGGCTACAAAAGATGGTGTTCATCAAAGAGGATGTGCAGCTCTGTTACCTTGCTGCCTTCCTTTAGCTGGTTTAACCCTCTTGAATCTCCTTACTTTACTACATGCTGTGCAATGTGGGGCAAAAATGACATGGAAAAATTATCCTACCTTATCGAACTCTTCAGCAGCTCATCAGTTGCTCCAAATCCTGGTGACACGGCGCCAGATGATGTTTCTCCATCATTTGCCTTAACAGAGCATTTTGACCAGCTCAGGGCAGCACTAGGCTGTTATCCCCCAGACCTCAGGTGGCACATCAAGCGTTCCACAGCTCTGCTTTGCAGTTCTGCTAAGTTGTTTACTGAGGCCAACACACACCACTTTATATAAAACAAATCTTAAAAGCAGATACACCTTTTGGAGAGCTGTGGGGCTTGAGCCTTTGACCTGACAATCTGGCAGTGGCCCAGCCATGTGTCGTTTACCCTAGTGGGTGCTCCCAAGGGGTGAAAAATGTGCCTCTGTCTCCCAGTCCTGGTGTCTGCTCCACAGATACAGCTCAGAGGCAGCTTTATTAGAGTTTCCAAAGGGTAGCTGGTGGATATTCAGGTCACACACAGTTTGCACTTGGGCTCACTGCTGCAAACCCCACTTAAAGTGTGAGTGAGAAGTTTTAGGAGTGCAAAGTGCTGCCCAAGCCACTCTCAATGCAGGCCTGGTTGCTGTGACACCATCCCTGTCCCTCTACCCCCACCCATGGCTGTGACTATGCAGAAGGGACAGAGGTGGTGAGCCATGGAGGACAAGGTGGAGGCAGCACCACAGCCTGCTTGGTCCCTCCAAGGATCTGCCCATTAGATACCTCTCAAGGTAGAAACATGGGATGAGGTTTCCAGAGCTGACTTCAGCAGTAGTGAAGTCACTGTGCTCATATGGTGGTACCCGCCACAGAGCCAAGACCCCCTGCCTCTCTAAAACCTTGTTTTCCTGCAGCACTCATGAACTGAAGTGCCCCTTGAGACCAGCTTTGAGCAGCTGCACATCCAATCTGGGGCAGTGCAGGGTGGTGAACTTCAAAAGGTTTTAGATGGGGGAAAAAAAGCCAGATAAATTAAACCTTTCTGTGAAAGACCTGTTCAGTTTTCCTCCGAGAAACCCCTTTCCACATGTCGTTGTTGCACCCTCTTTTCTCACTCCCTGCAGTGCTTTGGCTCTCCTGGCCCACCACGATGGACCTCTTGGAGCCCTGCCTGCCCCTGCCTTGGGTCCTCCTGGGCAGTCTGGACTCAACACTAGACAGCTCATCCCACCTGAAGGGCAGGGAGACATGTCTGTGGTTGAGGCTGGAGAGGGAAAACCTCAGGTTTTGTGCAAAGAGCAGAAATTACCTGGGTGCCCATGGAAGGGGCTGATTAGGGTCTAAGGTTGTATTTGGAAATGGCTTCTGGGCCACGGGGACTGGGAAGGTGCAGTCTGGCCTGAGAAGGTGATGGGCAGCTGGAGCATAACTCAAGCCAAGTATTTTAAGGACAGTGATATAAATTCGAACAAAGTTTGCCTAGAAGAAGAAGAAGTAGAGAATAATTATTTTTAAAATTAAAAAGATTCCTTACTCTGTATCCAAGCCTCTCAGCTGCTTTCTCTGCCTACTAGTCCCTTCTCTTGCAGGTCCCCTCCTTCAGCTGTAGGACACTTGCATGTGTCTGCCTGTCTCCATGTCCCCACAGGGGGGACTTAGTCTTACTGCTTTACCTCTCCATGCTGTTTCCTGAAAACCTACTGAACTGCCCGGTTGCCCCTGGAGCTGGGATGATTTTCCTTTTCCCCTTCCCTGCTTTGCTTAGTCTTCTCTCCCTCTTTTCACCATTTTTGGTGTTTCACCACTCTTGCTTCTAGGTTTTTCTCACCCACAAACCTGTGAGTCAGGGTTGACTCTATGCAGGAATTCACTTTTCTTGGTGGTGACACTGTTAACAGCTAAACTGATGGCTTTGCTGCTGTAAGCTCCAAACTATGCATGTTGCAGGGCAGGACTGGCCTTCAGACCAGGTCTCACTCCTTTCCATAGGCCTATGGAAAGTGTTTGGCTTGCTGTATATGAACATTTTAGCTTGCTTCTTTGCATATTTCTTTTATACGTTACCAGGTTTGCATAGGGCCAGTCCTGGACATTATCATATTTAATGCTAATTACAGAATGACTAATTATTATTAATGGCACTTTTATATGGTTAGTCTATATGAACCCTGGAACCCTGTGTTTGACCCTTCATCACGCAGTAGCCCAGATCTGCACCTCACTCTTGGCTCCAGCCCCATTTCTGGATCTGTTGCTCACCCCAGCCCCAGCCTCAATCCATGAGGTGTAGCTGTAATCACCTGCATCCTGGTTTCCATGACAACCCCCCAGGAATGTGGGCTGAAAAGGACCTGTGGCATCTCCTGATGTAGCTGGTCTGGGGCACCAGGGTGCAGATATAGATCCCCGTGGGCTGGAGACATAGTATTACTCACTTTGCAACCAGTCTTGCTCTTTAATCCGAGAATGCTGGCTACTTTGATGATAATACTGCCTCTGTTCTATTTACAATTGTTAAAATTTGGGTAGAGTGATTCTTGCTGGTGTCTCAGCACTCACACATACCAGTTAATAGGCTCAATTATCGGGAAAGTGAAAATGGCAAACCATGTTAACTCACAAGTACTTGTCCATGTGTGCAGCACTGGCTTGGAGAAGGGGAGTAGTCTCAAGCCACAGGTAATCCATCCACCTTATGAAAGCAAACATGCATTAAAGCATCTGGCATTTCTTGACTTTCCAGTTT